TTTGTTATCATTATGACAGTGAACTAGTAATTATGATTCTACTTATACTTTTATAAAAACATCATGATATTTTAAACTATACTTGTACGAAAAGGTTACAAAAAGAGTTTTAGTCCCATTATATTTATAGTTTCTATATCTTACGTGGTTGGATATACTTAGTTCACTATATACACTGCTCAGATACCAATCTGTCACACACTCAAACCATAACAGCGAAAACGTTCGGGGGCGGATGACATCATGTACAGTATCATAAAAATATTGAGTAATAGTAAAGAAAGAACTATAACTATCATAAATATAATTGAAAGAGTTACATCATTGTAAGTGTTAGATGTTTTAAAAGTTAATTACAATATGATGACAAAAGATTTGTTTGACGCCTTAGCGCCCCATCCTCAAAAGCTGATGGTTAGTTGTTTTACTAGTTTCCTAAGAATACAAGTTGTTTTGAAAAAGTGTCAACAATTAAGTTGGTGAGTTCATAAGAGTTTTTATGAATGTAAGTCTTTCCGTGTAAAGTAATCGTGTTTGTTTCCATAAAATACGATATTTCCATAAAATGAGTTGTAATCCATTTGTTTGTAAAAAGATAGTGTTTGTTCCAGAAAATCCAATATGTTCTATAAAATAAATTATAGTCTTAAATGTTCCAAGATCAAAGTGTATAAGTTTTCTGTACTTAAAGTTTGTAATATGTAGTTTTAATTTGAATAAAACCATTTAACTGTAAGTTAGCCCTGTAAACCAAAATGTATTGTTAATAACCCATATGAGTTATTATAATGATGCTAGCAAATAGTTGGCATGTGGCGGCATTCTTTAGGTATCGTAATGTTATGACATTTGTCACCCCAGACCTGCCGGTCTAACTGTAGCTAACAGTTTAGGTGCGATATTGTCAGTCTCATATAGATCTATACACAAGTATCACACTCTCCCTACAAGATATTATGGTTTATAATAAATGACTTAAGTTATGTACTTTAAATACAGTGAATCCAAATGTCTCATAAAATTTGTATCAACAGGTTTACGTATGAAAAATCGCTTTTTTTTGTAAATGTATGTATTACCCTTTCATAGTGTTTATATAACGTAAAAATAATTATATTCTTATATAATTATTTCTTTGTTCCAAAATGGTAAAATAGCGTGAATGTTCCACAAACTATACTTATTATAGTTTATAATGTATGTTCCGTTGAAATGAAAACCTTTGTAATTTAACGACTTTGCATGTAAGAGTTTATTAGTTTGGTAGTAACGTTATTTAGCATTTTCACATAAAGTGTATGTAAAATATAAGAAAACATAAAAAAATGATTTTTATATTTTCACAAGTATTCTTGTGCTTAACTTGTTCCCCCCCCCCCCCCCCCTCCCCCTCTCACCCCCTAAAACATAGAAAAATCTTGGAAAATGTGGGGGTATGAGCTCACGTTATGTGTATTTGTGGTTTGTTCACAAGACGATGGTGAAGATCTTCAAGTTAAAACTATTAAAGTAGCCGTAATCCTAATGGTTTTAAACACATAATAATGTGTGAATATATGAACTATCATGAGATTTTTATATAAACACTGGTCCACATTTGGAATACTTACCACATGCTTATAAACTATCTTGAAGTATGCTTTCTTGGATTGTTTGAACTTGATTTTTGAAGAGGGAAATGAGGTTTGATTTTCAGAGGATATGGAGAATATGTTTACTAGGAAGTGTTTGAAAAATGGTCTCCAAAACTTGATTATATAGGAAGGAAAAATATAAGGTGATGTGAGGTTTACATTGGTAAATGGATTTACCACGTTGGGAAGCTAATTCAACTAATCAAGTAGCACCACTTGTTGACCAAGTAGGTGATTTCGGCCAAATCATGACTGAAATCACCCTTATTTCGATTTGGTTCCACCCATTTAAGGGTGATTTCGGTCATATGGGTCCTAGTCTTGGGATTTCGGTTATACAAAACTAAAACTCTTTGATTCTTGATTTACAAAACCGAAATCCCTTAGTTCCTATAGTCGTAAAACCAAAAACCCAAATGTAATGTATTATATTATGGTTTTAGATTTAACATTTTGACTTGTGTTTACAATAGTTCATTTCAACATGGTTTTCCATTTATATATATTTGTTAGCCTATATAAACATGCCCTGTTGGCTTTCAAAGTTCTATTGCATCGAAGTTACATTGTGAATTCACTTGTACGCGGTTAAAGTATAGACCTTGTTTGTTCTAGAAAATTTGCAGTTGTCACACTATTGGGGCGATCAATGGATCGCTATGTACTATCCTGTATCTTATTAAGGTACGAAATATGATTAGGCCTTGTATTATGGATGTGATTGCCTTGAACGTTTTCATAGTGTTCCTCCCAAAAATAATGTTGTAAGGTGATGAGGATTGTATTATTGTGAAATCTAATATCTGTGTATTTTCGGGATTTTCTTATGGTCTCGTAATGTCAATGGAAATGATACTACCCCTAAGGGTTAGACTGAGTGCCCCGAAAAACTTGTTAAAGGTGGATCAGGTTGTCTGAGAAGCTTTTTCACTACCTCTCGTAGCTTAGAAAAACAATGTTCTCACATTATCTCTATTGAACTTGCGCTTTCATAATATATTCTATGAACGCATTTGCAATGGATATGTCCTTGTATTATGATTGGCTCATCACCCTTTATCTTGATTTTTTATGCTTGTTGCATTGTAAATATTTTGTGCAAGAGTCTTGCATTATTTCCTCATTTACATGGTGAAGTTTTCCCTTTTGGCCCACGATGATGAGTCGTAGTGTTGGTGTCACCTATTATGTTGCTATTAGTAAATTCAGTTGTCGAATCAATGACACGGATGTCGCCAAAGTTGCTACGTGGAATCCGGGTTCATGGTAGATGGATAAGGAGAACCTCTTCGAATGGGCACACTGGATTCGACACTACAAGCAAGAGACAAACACTAGGCTAGAATGTTATATCGAGTGATGGACCCCGGTATGGCTCCTCGATGCCTAAGTCTTTGTCGTTATGAAGCTTAAAGATAAATTACGAGAACTTTACCTTATCAGCATGCATCCGCAAGCTTTTACAGGCATCTTTAATCTCTTTCATACAAGGTTTTACCCGATAACTCGCATTGATCGGATAAAGACAGCTAGGTTGCATGTACTACTCGATATTTATTATTTCCAGGATCTTGTACTTGCGTAACTTTTGGGATATGTCTCGTTTGCTTCTTTTGTTTGTTATGTATTAGTATTGCATCATAGGTTCGTTGTTTGAACAGTTGTGTTTTGTCGCTTATGCATCGATTCGACTACACCCAAGTAGGTATTAATATGATAGGTCAGACAATTGTGCTTGGTTGCTTTTAAGTTGGCTTGGTGTGACCAGGTTGGCGCTGATCTGATCGGCCGGCCCGGGTACATCATTGACATCAAAGCTGCAAAAGGTAGGGAGTTGTAGTGTATTAATTTAATAGGTTTTATTTTAGAAAACAAAATCAAAAAGAAAAGATATAAAGAATCAACCATTAAGATTCCACTATCCAAGTTTCTCTCTCCTCTCTCATCTCTCTATGCCCTTGGCGTGCCTTGTGGGGGTGATGTGCAGCATCTCTAGTGCACCTTGGCGAATGGTGAGGGTTCTAGCAAGCCCGACTCTCCAAAACATTTGTAATATCCTAAAAAAGTATAAGCTAATAAATTAAAGATAAATTTTTTATGTGTTGAAGTGTTGTTTTTTCTGATTTTTTAAAAAGATATTACATTTTAAGTATATTTTGGGTTTTAGTGATTCTTAAAAAAGATATTTCATTTTAAAGCAGAAAAATATGCACGTCGCATAGACAGTGCACAATTGAAGTAGTTTGTAAATATTGACGTATGGTATATTTAATTTTCTAAATTCTTTTTCTTTAAATAATTTATTAGATTATAGACCTAATATGATTCACCATTGTAATATAATATGATATACGTTCTTTTTATATATAATTCTTTTAAAATTATCATTAGAATTTAGAAGCATTTTAGAAAATTTATATTGCTTTTTTCCGAATCTCCATATTTTAACTCTAATAAATGAATAAGTTTATTCTTCTATTGACAAATGTCAAACTATTAGAACTCTTCATTAATATTATATATCACTTATCATGTCACTCGTCAACCTATTAATTATTAAGTATCAATTTCAAATTTCAAATTTCAAATTTCCACTATAATTAAAGTAATTTGATACTTAATTCTCTATTTTAAACTTCAAACTTCAAACAATTTTAATATTATTTCATTAAATTAATAACATTAGATTAAAAAATAAAATAAAATTAATACATATTATAAAGTGATATAACTTTTTGTATTTATTTATATCAACGATTATAATTTTATATAAATAAAAAAATATCTCTTAAGTAATAATTTATTTAAAATAATTGATTAATAATTTTAATTTTTAATATGAAAGTTTAATTAATTTTATAACCGTGGTTTTCACGGGTTATAAACTAGTTATACTATATGAATTACATTCATACGTTCAGAAATTTAAACCACTAAACGAGGGATACGTTTGGAAATTTAAACCACTAAACGAGGAGACGACTTTATTAAAGAACCTAAAAGTCTTTGCCAGGTGGTCATTTTATATAGGATAGGATTGACTAATTATACTTTTTTTTAAAACAAAATTATAAAAATGATACCTATAGTTTGCCAAAAGTAACAAACTTAGTCTCTGTTAATTTTTTTGATGCGTTTGGCCCTTATGGTTTGCAAAAGCTGCATTGGACGTCCTTTTTCATAATTCTATCAGTTTGTAGCCGTTTGGGGTCATTAATGTGGGGGTATATTTTTCTTTTTATGTTTGGCGCTCATTTAAGATCAGATTAGGCAGTGATATGTCATTAACCTATCCTTTGTCATTAACCTCCTCGCATCCGATTTAAGGGTTTATCAACTAAAAATGGTACTTTGTACGTAGTTTACATGGTTCTCATACGATTGCACCCGGCCTTGATAAAGATTACAGTAAGTTGTTTAATTTTTTTGTTTGGTGTTTCTTGGTTTGTATATTTAAAGCTCGTCGATCTTTCTTTTTTAAATGGTCATAAAATTTCTTCACTTTAAAGATACATCATGGTGGATTTTTTACAGAGTTACTAGGAAGAAAGTACGTTGAGGGAAAGTTGGCATTCTTTGACGTTATAGACACTGATCTTTTTTCAGTTCATGGCCTAAATGACATGATTTGTGAGATAGGGTATTATGCAGATGAAACAATGTACTATCATTATAGAATTCCTAATCTAGACCTAAATTTTGGATTGAAGGCTCTAGGAAATGATCAAGGTGTTATATATATGGCTCAATATGTCCCTCAAAACAAAGTGCTTAATGTGTATGTTGAACATGGTTCTATAAGACTTCACACTTACTTTATCTCCCCAAGTAAATTTGTTATTGAGCAACTTAATGGTGATCCTTCTCCTGAACTTAACAGGATTAGGCCTAAGAAGAAGGGAATTGGTTCATGTAGCAAGAAATTAGACATGAATGTCCCACTTACAGAATATGCTAATCAAGCACATATAGATGATGGTGTGTATGATTTTTCTATGTCCCTAGTTCCTTTTTAGCCAAACAAACAAGATGTGGTTAATGATTTTAAGGATGATTCGTATTTCCCTGTACCAAAAGAAACTAATACAATGCAAGAAATTACATTTGATATTAATTGTCAGGATCATAGGGAAATACTAGATGATTTTGAGCCTTTTAGTAGTGATGGATATCATAATATGGGAGAGTTTGAAAGAGATTTTGAATTTTGTAACATCCTGAAAAAGGTACATTTATCCTGAAAAAGTGTCAAAATTAGTCCCTAAAAGAGAAAAGTTGGCAAGAGTCGTGCGCAGGGCGCACGCATGTGTACGTGCAGCATACTTAGGCGTCATACATAATCGTGAAGGACCACCTAGTATGTTGGGCGTACTAGACTCAGGTGTAAAACCCTAATTTGAAGTTGACCCCTATAAAAAGAACATTATGGCCTCATTTCTAACCACCCTTATCGGCCTCCATCTCTCTCTCATAAACCCTAATCTCGTGTGTGTGGTTTGTGTGTGTGTTATTGCTGGTGTTGAGTGTTCTTGGCTCTTGTAGTTGAAGAATTAGATTATATAAGAATAAGAATGTGCTTGCAAGCTTAGGGATCTAGAAATTTCCCACCTTTATGCATCATTTTCAGGTATAAAGCTTATAACTTGGCTAGTGTTCTTCTCAATCTCTTTATTCTAAGATTTATGAGCTTAAGTACCCATGTTTAGACCTTTTCAAGTTTGGGGCAATTCGGAGAGTTAAAACTATCCTTTCATGCATCTTAAGACATATAGATTGACAAAAATGCTTGCTTGATCTTCCCTTTTGACTCATACATGAGTAAAGTATCTTAGAATGGATGAAATGGTGTTTTAAGCCTCTCCTAGCAATGAAATGGCTTAAAGCCCTTGACTTTATGGATTAAGAGGTCTTAAATTAGTTAGATTTATGGTTGGAATGGTTGTCTTAACGGATTAAGACGTCAAAAGAGTGGAATTGGATGTTTATGGAGTACAACATGCATACTCCTAGCTACGCACAACGTAGCTAGATTTTACCCCGTCATATGCTTAGTCAGTTGTACGCCCATCGTTAGGTGTAGTACGCCTAACGTACTAGTTGCGTGTTGACCTTCTGTTGACTTTCATTGACTTTGACATTTGGTCAAAGTTTGAGGTTTTGGGACAGAGGGAAGGGCAAAATGGTCCTTTTCCCTTAGTAGGTTTAAGCGTGGATTTTAAACTCATAAGTTGTTTTGGACCTTAATTATTAATTAAGTTAATTATTTTGTTGACTAAACGAAGTCTAGATCCGATAGTTCGGGTGCTAGGTTTTTCTTGTCATCAGTATTTGGTGAGTCTCCTCACTTATTCTTACCTGAATGGTAGGCTAGTTGTATTATGACAACCAACTAGGTCTAGCTGTTGTGATGTGTTATGTTATGATATTGTATGTAACTGGGGCTGATGATAGACAAGTGGGAGTTGTTGATAACCCTACGAGCATGTTGTTAGCTCACCAGGACTACTAATAGTCCCAAGGTTTCAGATAACCCATAGTTTTTTACTTATGATGTATTATATATGGTATCTTGGGGAACTCAATAAGATTTTTTCTTACAACTGTGATCTATATGTGGTAGGTACTTCGCATGACCGCGAGAAAGAGAATGTATGATTGTACACTTGCATTGGGAATTTACTACCGGGACATGATCTTCTATGTACTTTGATAACTAGGATACTTGTGGTTTTGGGATGACTTGTACTTGATAGTTGGTTGTGAAACTATGTTTTTGGAAATTTTAAAAAACAAAAATTTGGTCTAAAATTTTAGGTGTTACAATTTGGTATCAGAGTCCTCGTTTGAGGGATTTGGATGAACCTCTAGGTGATTCCAAATTTAATCTGAGGGTTTGAACATTTTCAAGAACTTAACAAGAAATGAAGACTTTTTAAAAAAGAAAAAACCCAGAGAAGCAATGTGTACAATCGACCAACGCTCGAGCAACAGTTTCCCAATATACCTCACTTTATTTTTGTAGTGCAGAGCAAACATGTTATATTATGAGCACATACTATTGCATGCTAGCTAGGATGAGGCTAAGGAATCTTGCTAAAACATTATGAAATGTTTCTTGATTTATGATGCCTTAGCCTAGGGGTTCATTCCTTATGGGATTAAGTATGTCTTTACTATTTGTTTCGTGTATGCCTTATAGTTGTACATAGTTAGGATTTTATAGCCTTAGAATGTCTGATTTAGCTTTTCTTCCTGTTCCTTGTTTGGTTGTGGATTTGAGGTAGGATCATTTATTCGAATGTCTATCGAATCTCGTACTGTGTACAATTGGCATACACAAAGTGAATAGCGAAGACAACGGAGATCTCGTGAGGCAGAGCGGCGTTGGGAGTAGTCTAGAAATAGTATCTATACGTATGATTAAGGTTCTCATGATCTAGTAGGGTAGTTTATAGATGATATGAGGAGGCAGGGTTCTTGGGGTCCAGAAGGTACAATCCAAAAAAATACAGATTGGTGTGATAGGTAGTATTGGGCCAATACTACTAAAAACACCGGATCCGTACGCGGCATGAGGAATAACCTCGGGGGAATAAAGAACTTGTAGGGGTATGAGTGGTGTTATAGGTGTTTTAGCCTATTGTTGATAAACTTTCTTATGCATTTTAGTTTGGTTGTTACCCGGGGTTCAGGCTCCAGCGACGCCGAGAGGTCGGGTGCTAGTGATGATGAGATTCGCAGGACTGTTGCCATAGAGGTGGTCACTGCAATCCGAGAGGCTATCCCGGAGATTTTTGGGTATGTTAAGACCACACTGATTCAGACCTTTGATGAGTGATATGCTGTTGTCACTGAGGTTGTTTTTGTCGTAGCCACCACAGCTCTCGTTGTTGTGAGACCGTAGGGGGTGATTCGTTGTGGTATCAGGAGTTCAACACCACGAAGCCACCCGAGTTTGATGGGACCCATGATCCTATTGTTGCTATGAGATGAATCTCTAATGTTGAGGGATGTTTTTATAACTACTCATGTCCAAAGAATTTGAGGTTTCGATTCGCATAGAACCTGCTTCGTTTAGGAGCGAAGGACTGGTGGAAGTTTGTGATAGTTGATGACACGCCTACGGAGCATGTTCCGATGACTTGGTAGAGGTTTACTATGATGTTCATGGATGAGTTTGTACCCATAGTTGAACGAGAAAGGTTAGCTTAGGAGTTCATGTCTCTCAAGAAGAAGATAGAGACGATGAGTAAGATCACCAGGATATTTCATAAGAGGGATTTGTTTTGCCCTGAGTAGGTATCGTCGGAGTAGTCTCCTGTGGCTCAGTATTTGAGCGCTCTTGTGGCATGATATTTGAGTGTTCTAAGGAAGGATATCATGCAGTTCGTGGTGAATACCACATATTGGACATTGGTTAGCTACAGACCAATGCTAGGAGGAGAAAGATCAAGCTGGAGGCTCAGACTCGGGAGGAAAGGGAGGCCCAGGGGAGAGAAAGGAGGCTAGTGTAGTTGTAGCCAGTCACTAAGTGGGCTAATCCCGCGGATCAGAGAGCTGGAGGCCAGAAGGACCGCACTTGCAAGAAGCATAGCAAGGTTCACAAGGGACCATGTCAAGCCAGGTCGGCTTTCTTTCTGTGTGGAAAGGAGGTTCATATGGCTAGGGAAATCCCCAAGGGATTTCGAGTTTGTGTTAGATGCAATCAAATGGGCCACATGAAGGCCGGCTATCCATAGCTTGCATTCAGAGCGGTTCAGACTCTTGCCCCAGTGATATTGTATATAACCGATGGCCGACAAGGAAAGACTGAGGCACCAAGGGCTCGGGGCAGAGCATTTCAGTTGACAGCAGAGGAGGCATGTACAACTCCAGATGTCATTACTGGTATGTATTTTTTTATATTTCTATTGATTTATTTCTTTGCTACTTATATTGCCGACTCTATAGGTACGTTCCTTGTGAATTATGTGTCTGCGCTTGTGCTGTTGACTCGGATGCGAGTTGATATTTTATGTCATCATCTTTTAGTCGTTGTTTTAGTATTCCACGAGAGACCTTGAGCAGGCCCTTATGAGTCTCGATACCTGATGAGTGTCCTGTATCAGCTACTGATGTCTATCGGGGTTTTGTGTTAGATATTTTCGATGTTGGATATCTTATAGACCTCATCCCTATCTCGATAAGGGGGTGTTTGTGTAATTATAGGTATCGATTGGTTGAGTTGGTTTGGGGCTCTGATTGACTGTGAGTGTTAGTTCATGACAGTCCGAGATCTTAGTGAGGGAGTGTTGACTATGTATGGCGAGGGTAATACATCTGAATTAGCCTTCTGTTCTGCTGCCAGGGCAAGACAGAGTTTACAACATAGGCGTTTGGGTTTTCTGGCATATTTAGTAGTTGCTTGGGTTGAGAAGAAGGGATCAACTTCTGTTTCTGATGTTCTAGTGGTATGTGATTTTCCTAATGTTTTTCCCAAGGAGTTATCGAGTGTGCCTCCACAGAGGCAGGTGGAGTTCCGGATGGATTTGATTCCAGGTGCGGTGCCGATCACCAAGGCACCGTACCGTCTTAAACCTCCTTAGATGCAGGAATTATCCTCTCAGCTGCAGAAGATGTTAGGGAAAGGGTTTATTAGACCAATCAGTTCTCCTTGGGGAGCCCCGATACTTTTTGTCAGGAAGAAGGATGGTTCGCATCGGATGTGCATTCATTATCGAGAAATGAAAAAGTTAATGGTGAAAAACCGTTACTCTTTGTCGAGGATAGATGATCTTTTTGACTAGCTTCAGGGGGAATCTTGGTTTTCCATGATAGATTTAAGGTGTAACTATCATCAGATGAGGGTTCGGGAGGAGGATATTTAGAAGCCTCAGCCACCGACCAAACATGTGTACATATAACAGATAATCATATAGCAGTCTACAACTAGTCAAACAGATCTACAGATCACTAAGCATAGCATCATCCTATATACCAGGATATTGATCTAACAGATCACTACAGTACAATAGCA